ATTAGGGTCACATAACAATGTATGTATAAATTTTTGTATGAGAGACTAACTTGAATTGTAAACTTTCACTTAAAGTACAACAATAAAATTAAAAAATAAGAAAATAGTCAATATTCTGTGGTAAGTGGAAATTAAAACAATGAGAAATCATTTTACACTCATCAAACTGTCAAAAATAAAAAGTCTAACAATACTAAATGTTGGTGAGACTTTGGAGCAAGGGGAAGTCTAACATACAACTGGTGGGAATGTAAATTGGTACAACCACTGTGGAGAACAATTTAGCAATATCTGGTAACTTTATAAGATATATAGAATATTTTCCCCAGCAGTTCTAATTTTAGATATCTGTCCTAGAAGAATATGCAGATTTGTAAAAGGAGATATTTACAACAATGTTTGAAGTTGCATTATGATAGTGAAAAATTAAAAACCAATCCAATGCTCATCATGGAGGGGATGCATACATTAATTGTTATATAGTCATTCCAAGAAGTGCTGTACAGCAGTTGAAAAGAATAAATCTAAGCTAAAGTTGTTAAGATAGATATTTCTCAAAAAACAGTATATTAAGAGAAATAAACAAGTTAAAGCATATTAGATAATATGATCTTACTGGTATTTTGTTCTGAAACATGAGAAATAATGTTACACATTATTTATGGTTAAATAGATATGTAGCAATAGTATAAAAAACACGCATGGAAGTGGCAAATTACTGATTCGAGATTGTAGTTACCTCTGGGAGGGGCGGGAGGGGAATTTACAGTTAGAGGGGCCTGCACAGGGGCTTTAACTCTAATTGTTTTTTTTAAAATATATGCAGCAAATATGCCAAAACATAGTAATTAGTTAAAGCTGGGTGGTGGATACTTGGGTATTTGTTATATTCTATGTTTTCTATAGTTGGGAATATTTCCCAATTTTAAAATGTGTGTTTGGTTAAAGACAAAAAAACAGTAGAGAAGATTTGCAATAGGGAATATCCTGGTTAGCCAACAGATTGGGTAATTTGCTTTGATAGAGAAATGCAAGCAGAAGAATAGAAATGTAACAGTTTTCCTTTATCATTTCAGACACATGTATGACCACTTCACAAACCTCTATCCACAGCTGATTGAGAAGCCTTCCATCATGGATAAAGTGCAGGATTTTATGACGTATGTATAACAGCTTTTCTCTTCTCATTGTTATTAATGCTGAATAAATACACAGAATCTCTGACTTCAAACAGCAGCTTTTCCTCTTACTAAGGAGATGCTATCTCTTTAGCAGGACTCCATTAGTATGGTACAGCTCTTTTGGTAATGGCATGCAAACTGATTGCAGACAATATGTCCTTTAATTTTGGCTGCTTCAGAGGTCCAGTTGAGTATTACATTATTAATTGTTAATATGGCTGGAGGAGATACATCATTGTAAGGCAGGCAAAGTTAAGTCCCGGGATCCCTTACACATGGGGGCCTCTCTCCTTCCTTCTTGGATCCCGCCCCCTCCTTGGAGGTGTTTCCTTGGCATGGGCTTGGTGATTAATGGTGTGAGCTAATATCTAAAGTCATAATTCTTAACACTCTCTGAGAATATTTCTATTTTAATAAAGTATTTTTGAAGGCTAACAATCCTACAATACTCAGAAAAATTGTTTTATATCTGTGGAATGACAGGGTGTGAGATTAATTTGGGGACAGGAGGGCTCTTGGTTTGGCCATCCAAATCACACCCTGAGCAACCTCTTCATGGAATGCTAAGATCCTACAGAACATAGATCAAAAACCATTGGACTAGATCCCATGAAGCAATGACATTGTGTTATTCTAAGATTGATCTAGAGATAGTCTGGACAAACCAGAAATAGCTTTCAGTATGCAAAATTATGTTAAATCGTCCCCTACAAAATGCAGAGAATTGAAGGAACCGAAAGAGAGGAGGCAGAATGAAGAGACTATTTAAAAAAAAAAAAGATATTAATATGCTAGGACAGAGGCATTGAAGTATTATTAGTAGCAACTGAAATGGATTGAACAATAGCTGTGAAAATGACCTGTAAGAAAAATATAAACATATAAAGCCCCAGTCCTTAGGAGTTTTATTTTTTTTGCTGTTCTTTAACTTTACCATGGACACATACCAAAGAAAAGTTAATCAATTTATCTTTATTGGCTTCATGAGGCATTATCATTTTATATGAAATGTATCTGGGTGGTTTATCCTTGACTTTCTTAGGTCTCAGCATCACAGGTAAGTAAATATCACACCTGTGTTTTGCTTCCAGCTAGAGCATGGAGGAAGCTATACAAGAAGAGTCATGGCCCTGGGGAGAGATTAAAAATCACTTAGGATGTGCCCTGAAATCCTTTCAAGTGACTGGAATGTTATAAAATCTAGAACTGAATTTATGCCAGCATATATGTCTGAGTAGAAAATCTCTAAATGCCTGGATTTGATTTAGCTTTGAATGAGCAACTGCAGAGACCTCTAATGCAAATCTACTTTCTCTTTCAGGAAGCAACATGAGTGGGTCCAGAAAAATGTCAAAGATTATAAGGGTGACCCATTTTGGAGACATGTTGGCTATGTTATGGCACAACTGGACGGGCTATATATGGGAGCAATGAAGAGGGCTCTATTAGAAGGGAAAAAGGTAAGACTTCTAAGGAGCTGCTTAGAATTTATGTGGTATGACAGGGATATTAAAATTTGTCTTTAAGGTTAGAGGATATAAATTCCTTGCAGACAAGTGCAATCTTATCTATCTTATTTGTAGCACATAATTCAAGCTCAACACACGCTGAATAAATCAACTTGTTTCTGCATTTTCTTAATGACTTTCATAATACCGTGCTATGGAGTAGGTTAAAAGGCCTATGAATATATTGACTTTTCAAGTAAGCTAGTATTTTAGACTATATGCTTGGGAAACCAAAATGTCTAAGTGTGTAAGTTCTATGCTTCTGACCCTACACACATACACACCCCGTAAGTTTTTTGAAAGCTTCAGCTGATCATTAAGGACTCAAAGGTACCATTTGATTTATTTGCAAAACTTAGGAAATTTTGTTTCCTGGGAGTATTAAAACCTTCCTGAAATGGCCCCAAAATATAACTTTAACACTGGAATAGTCTGATTTCCTTTATTTCTTCAATTTTGGATCCAGTAAATAAATAACCATAAGGTCAAAGTAATTGTTTAATTTGCTAATACATGAAATCTATCAGTCATATCAGTATATGAAAAAGAAAATATTGAAGGGAAAATATTTTTAAATTGTAGTATAATGCAAAAGCAAAATTTACTCTGTATATAAGACACACACAGAAAACCACGTGATTCAGATTGATTGAAATAAAAGTATGAATAAAGTGTACTGTTGTCGTATGCCGTCAAGTGGATCCCTAGTCACAGTGACCCTATATGACAGAGTAGAACTGCCTCACAGGGTATTCTAGATTGTAAGCTTTACAGGAGGGAGCCCTGGTGGCCCAGTGGTTAAAAGCTCAGCTGCTAACCAAACGGTTAGCAGTTCAAATCCACCAGCCACTCCTTGGAAACCCTAGGGGGTCAGTCTACTCTGTCCTGTAGGGTCGCTATCAATTGGAATTGACTTGTCCGCCATGGGTTTTTGTTTTTGTTTTTTTATAATCTTTATGGGAAGGAGGCCTGGTGGTGCAGTGGCTAAGCACTCAGCTGCTAACCAAAAGGTCTGCGGTTCAAACCCACCCATCGGCTCTGGGGGAGAAAAGATCTGGCAGTCTGCTCCTCTGAAGATCACAGCCTAAGAAACCCTATGGGGCAGTTTTATTCTGTCCTATAAGGTCACTAGGAGCCAGAGTCGACTTGACAGCACACAACAACAGCAGTCTTCATAGGAGCAGATCACTAGCTTTTTTTCTCCTGTAGAGGTGCTGGCGGGTTTGAGCTGCAGACCTTTCAGTTAGCAGCTGAGTGCTTAACCATTGTGCCACTAGGGCTCCTTAAGGGTATACTAGGCAAATGCAAATGAATTAAAGCAGAGGCTCTAATACTGTTATCAACAATGTGGAATTTTGTCTGAAATTCAGGCCAGAAAGCACAAAATAAGACAAAAATAGATCTTCATAATGCTAAAAGTTATACTTTACAATGAAGTTATAAAATTATGAATATCCATTACCAAATAACAGCATCAACACAAAGTACTAACCATAAGAGATAATAAGTTAAAATAAAAACATATTAGAAGTAGGAGACTTTACTTTGCTTCTCAGTTCACTTAGATGAAGTCTCCAAAAGAAAGTAAGGACATAGAACACCTATATAGCAAAATAAAGTAAATCTAATATAGATATAAAACCAAAAAAAACCAAACCCTTTGCCGTCCAGTCAATTCTGATCCATAGTACCTCTATAAGACAGAGTAGAATTGCTCCATAGAGTTTCCAAGGAGCAGCTGGTGGATTCGAACTGCCAATCTTTTGGTTAACAGCCTTAGCTCTTAACCACTGTGCCACCAGGGCCCCAATATAGATAAAGGTACAGGTATAAATATATAGATATAAATATAGATTTATGCATCCTCTAAATATAAAATATACCTTTTCAAGTGCACATGGAATAATCTCAAAAACTTAACATACGTTAGACCACAAAACCCCTCAATAAATACATATTGAAATAAATGCTAAATCAATAACAAATCAGAAAACAAAACACTCCAACACCTGGAAAATTAAAACTATAACTTCTGGAAATGAAAAAATATAATAATTGAAGTTAGAAACCCAATGTACGAAAATAACAACAAATTAAATTCATTAGAATAGTCAATAAACTTGAAGAGATAGCTAAAGAAATTTTCTAGAATTCAGCCCAAGATGACAAAAAATACAAAATAGGAAAGGCATGCTAAGAGACATAGAGGTTAACAGTGATTTGCAGAAAATGAAAGAATGGGGAGGAGTCTTTTATCTGAAAACAGCTGAGAATTTTCAGAATTTTTAAAATGCACCAATACTGAGCTCTAGCAGGCCCAGTGAGTCCCTATCACTATATATAAACGGAAATCTATACCCGGACACAATTGTAATGAAACGGGGGTGGGGGTGGGGGGTGGGGATGGAAGACTTCAAAGCAAATGGAGAGAAAGTCATTACCTGATAGCTGATTTTTCAACAACAAAAATGGAAGCCTAAGAGTACAGAAAAGAAAAATAACATACCAATATCTTTCTAGATTATAGCTGCAAAAATACTGTACAAAATATTAACAAACCAAATTAAGCAATGTATAAAAAAAAAGATAGTATATCATAACCAAGATAAGGTTTATCCTAGGAATGTAAAGTTGATTTATGGTTAGAAAATCAATTCATGTAAGTTACCACAGTAACACATTAAAGTGGAAATATATATATATATGATCTCAACAGAGAGAAAAAAAGCATTTGCTAACTGTTAACAACTATGAAAAAAAAATGGAGCCTTTGTGGCACAATGATTAAGCACTAGGTTGCTAATGAAAGGTTGGCTATTTGAACCCACCAGCTGCTCTTCAGACGGGAAGATGTGGCAGTCTGCCTCCGTAAAGATTTCACCTTGGAAACCCTATGGGGCAGTTCTACTCTGTCCTATAGGGTCTCTATGAGTTGGAATCGACTCTACAGCAACAGGTTTTTTTGGTTTATGGGGAAAATTTTACAAAAAAGAAAATTCCTAGAAAACAAGGAATAAAAGGAAATGCCCCTAATGCTATAATACGTAGAGCAAACAACCTATTTAATGGTGAAATGTTGAAAGCATTCCTGTATTAATTAGATGCCAGTTTAACTGCTGTTACAAGGCCAAAATAACAGTGGTTTAAATGAATATGTTTATTTTTCTGTCATGTAACAATCTGAGTGGGAGCTGTTTCGGTTAGGGCCAGTATGGCAGCTCCACAGTGGCATGGATCCTGGCTTCGTCTCCATGAGATGCCTACTCCAGAGCTCTCCACCACGTTCACATTCCAGCCATCAGGAACTGGTGAAATAGAAAATGGAGGCCTCATTATTTTTGTTTAAGGAATTGCTTCTATTCACATTCAATTGGCCAAAACCTAGTGACATGGGCACATCTAGCTGAAAGCAAAGGTAGAAATGTATTCTTTAGCTGGCTAGCCTTGTGTCCAGCTAAAGTTTCTATTAGCATAGAAGAAAAAGAATGGATAGTGAGAGGCCAGTTAGAGATTTCCAAACAATTTCTTTTAATGTGGAGAAGAAGAAAGTATGTCTACAGTGATAACTTTTATTCTACATTGTATTAGAAGTTCTAACCAGGGCAGTAAAACAAAAAAACAAAGGATATAAAAGTAGTAAGAAGTGGACAGAAGGAAACCAAATCACCATTATTAATAATTGATACTATTTGCTATGTAGAAAACCCTAAATAGTGTGTGGTTAAAAATGTTGTAATTAAAAGGGGCAAAATGTCAGTGCCAGAACAGTTTTTGAACCTCTCTAAATTGCTTCACACCAACAGACAGGGCAACTAGGAAAAAAAAAATTTTTTTAACACAAATCTTAACAAAATTCAAGGTATTCCCACAACAAACCCCAAATACATGTGGATAGAGCCAAACCGCCTACCATTGCAAGGTCCATGCAAGGTGAACAGCTGTGAAGGCAAAGCATTGGGAATAAAAATGGGACATTTGTTGGTTCTGAGAGCAGGGACAGAGAAATGGCCAATAAGCACACACTCCTCAGTGAACTTCACTCAGAGGGAAAACTCAACAACATTTGAGAACAACCATAAAAACCAGGAAAAGGCTTCCCAGGCTCTATTTCAAGGGTTAAGATATATGAGGGGAAGATCGGTGAGTTCTGGTGCAGCTTAAGCACTCAAGGCGCTCAGAAATAACCCACTGAATACCCCCTTCCATAAGGACAGAGCTTCATACTGGATGAAAACTGCTGGTAGGGGCCATTTTTTAAATACTTTTGGTTAAAAAACAGGTAAGAGCCCATGAGCTTTGAAACTAGGAATGCTAGTATGACCCATTCTCGCTCCCTTGGAAATCTTCTAACCTGTTCCATTTAAACATAAAAAAAAAAGATTGTGGTCAAACTTCATAAAAAGTATTGAGAGGAAAAAAAAGAAGAGAATGAGCTGAACAACAGCATGAATATATAACCAGAGGGATCTTGTTAAAAATGTAGGCTCTGATTCAGTATCTCTAGGGTGGAAATGCAAATTTTCATCAGGAGGTCAAACTGGAAAGAGCCAGTTCAAAACCCTGATAACCACAAAGCAGTGAAAACTGTAATGATGTTTCAAATTAGTCATAAAAAAACTAAAAAAAACAGTAGAAGCTATGAAAGAACAGCATAAATCAGAAGTAGAAATGTTATGAAATAGTATAGCCAGGCAAGAGGAGTTTATGCAAAGAGAGCTTGTAGAACTTGGAAGAGAATTAGGAATAAAGAAAAAAAGATTCAGAATTGAAAACTAAACTAGAAGAAACACAAGAATAGCCACCATAGAAATTATAGTAAGAGAAATAGAGGATGAAATTAAGAAAAAGTAAAAAACAAAAACAGAAATGAAGAAATTAAAAATGATCAATATAGATGATTCATTGTACAAGAAATCCAAAGCAGTGCAAAGAAATAAACACTAAATTGTAAT